GTTCTAGGGACCCTGAGGTATCTTCCTAGCAAGTTTCAAGAAATTTCATTTTTTGGCCAAAATTGAAAAAAAATGTAAGGGGTTATCCTTACTTTTTTTTCGATTTTGGCCAAAAAATGAATTTTCTCCAAATTACTCCGAAATACTTAAGGATGCTTTGGGGGCACAATTTAATATTCAGACCGGCAAAATTCGCTAAATTTTGGCCAAAATTGTGACATTATTGGGTAAAATTTCATATACATGTATTTGACCTATTTTACCTCAAATGTGGACGCAATATTTCCTTTTTAAAGGCCTATCTGTCCGATGTAGGAGTGGAAACGTGTTCTAGGGACCCTGAGGTATCTTCCTAGCAAGTTTCAAGAAATTTCATTTTTTGGCCAAAATTGAAAAAAAAAGGAAGGGGTTAGCCTTACTTTTTTTCGATTTTGGCCAAAAAACGAATTTTCTCCAAATTTCTCAGAAATGCTTAAGGATGCTTTTGGGGCATGATTTAATATTCAGACCGGCAAAATTCGCTAAATTTTGGCCAAAATTGTGACATTATTGGGTAAAATTTCATATACATGTATTTGACCTATTTTACCTCAAATGTGGACGCAATATTTCCTTTTTAAACGCCTATCTGTCCGATGTAGGAGTGGAAACGTGTTCTAGGGACCCTGAGTTATCTTCCAAGCAAGATTCAAGAAATTTCATTTTTTGGCCAAAATTGAAAAAAAAGGAAGGGGTTAGCCTTACTTTTTTTCGATTTTGGCCAAAAAATGAATTTTCTCCAAATTACTCAGAAATGTTTAAGGATGCTTTGGGGGCATGATTTAATATTCAGACCGGCAAAATTCGCTAAATTTTGGCCAAAATTGTGACATTATTGGGTAAAATTTCATATACATGTATTTGACCTATTTTACCTCAAATGTGGACGCAATATTTCCTTTTTAAAGGCCTATCTGTCCGATGTAGGAGTGGAAACGTGTTCTAGCGACCCTGAGGTATCTTCCAAGCAAGTTTCAAGAAATTTCATTTTTTAGCCAAAATTGAAAAAAAATGTTAGGGGTTAGCCTTACTTTTTTTCGATTTTGGCCAAAAAATGAATTTTCTCCAAATTACTCAGAAATGCTTAAGGATGCTTTGGGGGCATGATTTAATATTCAGACCGGCAAAATTCGCTAAATTTTGGCCAAAATTGTGACATTATTGGGTAAAATTTCATATACATGTATTTGACCTATTTTACCTCAAATTGTGGACGCAATATTTCCTTTTTAAAGGCCTATCTGTCCGATGTAGGAGTGGAAACGTGTTCTAGGGACCCTGAGGTATCTTCCTAGCAAATTTCAAGAAATTTCATTTTTTGGCCAAAATTGAAAAAAAATGTAAGGGGTTAGTTAGCCTTACATTTTTTCGATTTTGGCCAAAAAATGAATTTTCTTGAAATTTGCTAGGAAGATACCTCAGGGTCCCTAGAACACGTTTCCACTGCTACATCGGACAGATAGGCCTTTAAAAAGGAAATATTGCGTCCACAATTTGAGGTAAAATAGGTCAAATACATGTATATGAAATTTTACCCAATAATGTCACAATTTTGGCCAAAATTTAGCGAATTTTGCCGGTCTGAATATTAAATCATGCCCCCAAAGCATCATTAAGCATTTCTGAGTAATTTGGAGAAAATTCATTTTTTGGCCAAAATTGAAAAAAATGTAAGGGGTTAGCCTTACTTTTTTTTCGAATTTGGCCAAAAAATGAATTTTCCTCAAATTACTCAGCAATGCTTTAGGATGCTTTGGGGGCATGATTTAATATTCAGACCGGCAAAATTCGCTAAATGTTGGCCAAAATTGTGACATTATTGGGTAAAATTTCATATACATGTATTTGACCTATTTTACCTGAAATTTTGAACGCAATAATTCCTTTTTAAAGGCCTATCTGTCCGATGTAGGAGTGGAAACGTGTTCTAGGGACCCTGAGGTATCTTCCTAGCAAGTTTCAAGAAATTTCATTTTTTGGCCAAAATTGAAAAAAAATGTAAGGGGTTATCCTTACTTTTTTTTCGATTTTGGCCAAAAAATGAATTTTCTCCAAATTACTCCGAAATACTTAAGGATGCTTTGGGGGCACGATTTAATATTCAGACCGGCAAAATTCGCTAAATTTTGGCCAAAATTGTGACATTATTGGGTAAAATTTCATATACATGTATTTGACCTATTTTACCTCAAATTGTGGACGCAATATTTCCTTTTTAAAGGCCTATCTGTCCGATGTAGGAGTGGAAACGTGTTCTAGGGACCCTGAGGTATCTTCCTAGCAAATTTCAAGAAATTTCATTTTTTGGCCAAAATTGAAAAAAAATGTAAGGGGTTAGCCTTACATTTTTTCGATTTTGGCCAAAAAATGAATTTTCTTGAAATTTGCTAGGAAGATACCTCAGGGTCCCTAGAACACGTTTCCACTCCTAAATCGGACAGATAGGCCTTTAAAAAGGAAATATTGCGTCCACAATTTGAGGTAAAATAGGTCAAATACATGTATATGAAATTTTACCCAATAATGTCACAATTTTGGCCAAAATTTAGCGAATTTTGCCAAATTACTCAGAAATGCTTAAGGATGCTTTGGGGGCATGATTTAATATTCAGACCGGCAAAATTCGCTAAATTTTGGCCAAAATTGTGACATTATTGGGTAAAATTTCATATACATGTATTTGACCTATTTTACCTCAAATGTGGACGCAATAATTCCTTTTTAAAAGGCCTATCTGTCCGATGTAGGAGTGGAAACGTTTTCTAGGGACCCTGAGGTATCTTCCAAGCAAGTTTCAAGAAATTTCATTTTTTGGCCAAAATTGGAAAAAAATGTAAGGGGTTAGCCTTACTTTTTTTTCGATTTTGGCCAAAAAATGAGCTTTCTCCAAATTACTCAGAAATGCTTAAGGATGCTTTGGGGGCATGATTTAATATTCAGACCGGCAAAATTCGCTAAATTTTGGCCAAAATTGTGACATTATTGGGTAAAATTTCATATACATGTATTTGACCTATTTTACCTCAAATTGTGGACGCAATATTTCCTTTTTAAAGGCCGATCTGTCCGATGTAGGAGTGGAAACGTGTTCTAGGGACCCTGAGGTATCTTCCTAGCAAGTTTCAAGAAATTTCATTTTTTGGCCAAAATTAAAAAAAAAATGTAAGGGGTTAGCCTTACTTTTTTTCGATTTTGGCAAAAAAATGAATTTTCTCCAAATTACTCAGAAATGCTTAAGGATGCTTTGGGGGCATGATTTAATATTCAGACCGGCAAAATTCGCTAAATTTTGGCCAAAATTGTGACATTATTGGGTAAAATTTCATATACATGTATTTGACCTATTACACTCAGACACGAATACATGTACAATCAAAACATCATTAACCAATATATTGGATTTGCCGCAGCCTGAATGTGTTTATTAAATCTTCATGCCAAATCAAGCATGTTTTGTTTTCCGTTTTACCATACCGCACCACCAACATAAATAGACGGCCAGATACCAGTCTTTCATTGCTGAAATCCTTTGGGCAAACTGACTCTTACAAACCATTGGGTTGATCAGACCCACCGAACCTGGGGTACATAACCGGGCCCCCACTCCGGATCCACTTTAAACCGTACCTGGGGTAATAACGGTCCCCCACTCCGAAAACCACCTGTGGTATATCCACGCCCCTTCTAAATTGCTCCGTAATTGATAGGACACTTGTAGAAACTTTTAAAGTAATTGCCTTAATTGAAACACAAAGTTCGCTGGCATAAATAATTGGAATGCTTCGCGGTCGGAACCGACTTCGTGGAAGCAAACCCTAGCCGGCACAGGCTGGGTTATTGTTGTAAAGGTTTGGAATTAAACAATTATAAATCAATGTCAACACATTTCACTGGACAGGCTCAGCGACCCTGGAATATGGCTTGCCGAACACTGTCCCACGACCACAGTCGCGCTTTCCCACACTTTTTACGGAGTGAAAAAACCCTCAAGGTAAACCCACTCTTCCTGTTTGCCAAAATGAAGAGTCAAAATCCCGTTGGGAAAAACTCCGCAAAGAAGCGCCGAGAAACCGCTAAGTGGCAGCAAAAGTCTTCAGAGCACTTACATCCGAATACTTCGGATAATTAATACTTAAAGGCGGCGAAGGGGAGGAGGCGGGATAACGATGTTTCCACATTCAGTTACTGCAACGAAGTGGTCTTCTCCACGTGACAACAGCCCACACCTTGCCTCTGTCTAACCACGTTGCTGCTGGGCTAGCCAATCCGCTCATTAATGCATTATTCATGATCTCCAATAAATCATTAAACATAAAAACCATTCGAGCTGCGTGTAAGATATTTTATCGTTCAGTCGATAAAATTGATTACACTCAGACACGAATACATGTACAATCAAAACATCATTAACCAATATATTGGATTTGCCGCAGCCTGAATGTGTTTATTAAATCTTCATGCCAAATCAAGCATGTTTTGTTTTCCGTTTTACCATACCGCACCACCAACATAAATAGACGGCCAGATACCAGTCTTTCATTGCTAAAATCCTTTGGGCAAACTGACTCTTACAAACCATTGGGTTGATCAGACCCACCGAACCTGGGGTACATAACCGGGCCCCCACTCCGGATCCACTTTAAACCGTACCTGGGGTAATAACGGTCCCCCACTCCGAAAACCACCTGTGGTATATCCACGCCCCTTCTAAATTGCTCCGTAATTGATAGGACACTTGTAGAAACTTTTAAAGTAATTGCCTTAATTGAAACACAAAGTTCGCTGGCATAAATAATTGGAATGCTTCGCGGTCGGAACCGACTTCGTGGAAGCAAACCCTAGCCGGCACAGGCTGGGTTATTGTTGTAAAGGTTTGGAATTAAACAATTATAAATCAATGTCAACACATTTCACTGGACAGGCTCAGCGACCCTGGAATATGGCTTGCCGAACACTGTCCCACGACCACAGTCGGCGCCACCCGCGCACTAGGGCGCGGCCCAAGGGACGAAGGACAGCCACCCCAAAGCGAGCAGTCCAGGGAAATGAAATTGTAGTCATCTTTAATAATAAAAACTACGCAAAAGACCATTTATGCAAGACTGCAGGTTGTCCTTAAATAACCGAGTACCTTCCGGGGACAAATGAACTCCATCAAAGTGGAAAAGCTGAGAAGGACATGACTCAAACTGAGGATGATGTAAAATGTACGCATTCAGTCTGTAAGCCATAGCCCTGGCCCATTTATTCAATGTGAGTCGTTTTTTATTGATACTGGCATTGGACTGTGCGCCGTAATAAAAGAGCCTTGGTAGAATATCGGACCAAACCAGGCAGACAGATGGATAACCAGTCCTGAACTCTTCCATGAGTAACCTAATACGCTGGCGCATACAAAAAGTATCAATGGAAACAAGGTCATTAGTACCTAGGTGTATTATTACGACCGTAGGAGCCACGCCATGAGCCATAGCATCAAGGCGGCTTAACAGTGGGAGAAAATTGCCTATCCCTGCCCCACCTTTTCCCATCCAGTGTATTTGTGCCTCGCAATCCATGTTCGTCTGAGCTCTGCGAATAATAGAATCACCCACGATCCAAACTGTATCTGTACATAGTGATAAAATTAAAAAAGAAATTTTCGCGGCATGACCATGCAGTTACTCCAGGAAAATGACACAGCGGAATTGTTGTACAGGTATAGGTGTTGACCGCATCCAAACGCCAACGACCGATAATTTGGAACTGCAGTTAGGGGCCCTGAAAGTTGCGGTCGTAATGCAATAAACGTGTCCGTACGGGACAGATACAAGAAATCTGTAGTTGGGTCTGGAAATTATTTACTTTGGAATTAGCCCACAACGGATTGATAAGTTTCTATAGTAAAAGAGACTATATAGACCCAGTAATAAAAAATATACCATAAATTCACAATGACTCCAAACGTCTCTGGTAAAACATTGGTAGATCGGTGTGTAGGAAAATTTAGAAATAATTTCAATCCGACCGATACTTGTCGATAATTGGGCGATAAAAAGGCGATAATAATTGTCGGTTACTGACTGAGATGGAAAGCGGGAAGAGGCGTCATGGACAGTTCCGCACTCGGTGCGGCCTGTCGAAAACGATCCATCTGGAAACGTGATAGAGAGTCAGCAATAACATTGAATCGACCGGGAACATGGACCGCCTTGAAAGAAATATTATGGCATAGACACTGACAGACGAATGAACGGACTAGCTGCATAAGTTTGTCACATCGCGACGATTGCTTGTTAATGATATGAACTACAGCGCTGTTGTCAGTGCGGAATATGACTTTGCGATTTGCGAGAAATGACCCCCAGCAATAAACAGCTATGACCAAAGGATAGAATTCTAAGTATGCTATAGACAGAGGTGACTGACCTATCGATTCGGGCCATCTCCCTTGAAACCACTTCCCTTGGAAGTACGCCCCGTACCCTATACTACCGGCGGCATCTGTGTAAAGCTCAAGCGTGTCATTTGACTCCCAGCCATTAGTCAGAAACGGAGAAACCCCATTAAAATGGTCAAGGAAATAAAGCCACATCATGAGGTCCATTTTAGCCCCATGATTAAGGCGCACCTTGTGATGCGGCTGAGATAAACCCCGGGTTAAAGCGATGAGTCGCCGCAGAAATGCACGTCCCGGAGCGACCGCTTTACACACAAAGTTAAGGGAGCCTACCAGGGATTGTACTTCCACCAATGTTAGCTTAGATTGGCGCAGTGCCTTGGAAAGTTGTTGGCGAAGAGCCTGCACCTTTAACTCAGGAACTCTAACCTGCTGTTGGTGAGAGTCTAAATCTAAGCCTAGATAAGTAATTGTTTGCGATGGGCCCGCTGTTTTCTCTTCAGCAATTGGTACCCCCAAACGCGCACACACCACTTTAAAAGCTTGGAGTGAATCATGACATGCATTTAGAGAATGGCCAACAAAAAGAAAGTCGTCCAAATAGTGGGTTATTAGCGATGTGGTGGCCATCTGTTTGGTCATGAACTCAAGGAAAGTGCTAAATGTTTCGAACAGAGAGCAAGATATGGAACAGCCCATCGGTAAACATCTATCAAAGTAATACAACCCTTGAAACGTAAACCCAAGTAGTTCATAGTCAGATGGGGCTACTGGGAGTAAACGGAATGCAGACTTTATGTCCGATTTTGCCAGCCAGGCGTTGGGTCCTGCCTCCATGACTAATTCTACTGCCCTATCAAAAGTTGCATAATGTACGACACATTTGTCTTTGTGTATGTAATCATTGATAGATGTTCCTTCGGGATAGGATAAGTGGTGAATAAGTCGAAAGGAGTTGGGCTGTTGTTTAGGCACCAAGCCGATGGGGGAACACTGCAGATTGGGAAGTGGGGGTTTGTCAAAGGGACCCGCTACGCGACCTAAGCTAATTTCCTTATTGATCTTTTCAATGACTATTTTGGGCTGTTGTGAGGCGGAGGAAAGGCATTTCGCCTCACGCGACACACGGGGACCTTGGTAATGTAAAGTAAACCCCTCAGAAAATCCTACACGTAGTAATTCCGCCGCTCTAACATCGGGATAAACGGAAAGCCATTCGGTTAAAATGTCTAATTTAATTGGGGTTGGAAGAACGAAAATTGTCTCCAGCACGCGATTCTCTGGCTCTAGCCCCCTGCGAAACCGTCGGAGGGGGGTTCCTAGTACTAGCTACGCCAGCAGTTTTGTGCTGCGCAGAAGTCATCCCTGAAGAGGGCTGCCGTTTCGGCTCGAAAAAACCTACACGGCAAGTTAGCGCTCCATGGCCAAAACGGTTACAACTTGTGCACTTATGAGCGAATTTACAATTCGCCCAATGGCAACCCTTCGCCTGGTTAAAGGCGAAGCAGAAACCACTGCCTTTGGATGTACGATGCGCAAAAGTGGCACCAGAACTAGGTGGTGCAGATGGAGTGGAATTGGCGAGTACGGCAGCGGCTGCTACCGTAACCCACAACTCCATGTCAATGGCCCCCAGGAACGGCTCGGATTAGCTTCTTGTCGCAGACGAAACTGCTCGTCATACGCGCGCCATCCTAAGCCGCTAAATTGGGAGGCAGCCATCCTCACCGTCTCCGCGTACTTGAGCAATTCGCCTACCCGGAGAGGGTGACGCACCGCAAAAATGGCCGTAAAGGTGTGAAAGGCAGTGAGCCATTTGCCAATGGTATCGAGTTTCCTTTTAGGAGACTCGGGCTTGCAAACTATAGCCCCATTTTCAAGCGCTAACTTTAAGGTTTTATCACTTGGTTGCACCAGAGAAGTCGCGGCCGGATCATGAAAAAGTAAGGAAAGATCTATGTACTTCCCACTCCAAATTTTCTCTTTAACCCCAGTGGGTACTTGAAACCCTAACGGAGCCTCGCCCTGGCCTGAAAAGACCGGGTCGGGCCTATACAAATTCTGCTCAAGTGCTGGCATGGCTGGGGCCGGTACCGGCCGAAAATCGCCAAGCTGGGAGACGGAACTGTCAACCCGTGCAAAATTACTACAACTATTAATATTACCACTACTATCTAGTGAGCCAATCGTGGCTGGCTCGCAAAAAGAAGCGTGATTAATGTTCATTGCAGGCAAAGATGACACGCCAGACTCACCCCGCCTTGCTTGTTGGCTCTCAGATCCACTCGGTCCTGGTGCAGGTTCGATCGGCAGCTCCGGTTGTCCTAACGCCGGGTGCTGACTTCTGACCACCGGCGTCGGCACATCGTCAATCCGAACACGACGTGCCCTCACCCCAGACTGCGTGGCCCGTGTACGGGGTCTCCCGCGCTGCCTCCTGCCAATGCCGGCATCCATCCTGTTCGCAGCTGGAGTTGCTGGAGTTGATGACCGGGTGGATTTAGGCATTCTTGGAAGTTACTCAATGAGATCCAACGTCAACCAGACAACGAAACTACTTTAAGAAATTCGAAGACAACTTATTTTACCTCAAATGTGGACGCAATATTTCCTTTTTAAAGGCCTATCTGTCCGATGTAGGAGTGGAAACGTGTTCTAGGGACCCTGAGGTATCTTCCTAGCAAATTTCAAGAAATTTCATTTTTTGGCCAAAATTGAAAAAAAATGTAAGGGGTTAGCCTTACATTTTATCGATTTTGGCCAAAAAATGAATTTTCTTGAAATTTGCTAGGAAGATACCTCAGGGTCCCTAGAACACGTTTCCACTCCTACATCGGACAGATAGGCCTTTAAAAAGGAAATATTGCGTCCACAATTTGAGGTAAAATAGGTCAAATACATGTATATGAAATTTTACCCAATAATGTCACAATTTTGGCCAAAATTTAGCGAATTTTGCCAAATTACTCAGAAATGCTTAAGGATGCTTTGGGGGCATGATTTAATATTCAGACCGGCAAAATTCGCTAAATTTTGGCCAAAATTGTGACATTATTGGGTAAAATTTCATATACATGTATTTGACCTATTTTACCTCAAATGTGGACGCAATAATTCCTTTTTTAAAGGCCTATCTGTCCGATGTAGGAGTGGAAACGTGTTCTAGGGACCCTGAGGTATCTTCCAAGCAAGTTTCAAGAAATTTCATTTTTTGGCCAAAATTGGAAAAAAATGTAAGGGGTTAGCCTTACTTTTTTTTCGATTTTGGCCAAAAAATGAGCTTTCTCCAAATTACTCAGAAATGCTTAAGGATGCTTTGGGGGCATGATTTAATATTCAGACCGGCAAAATTCGCTAAATTTTGGCCAAAATTGTGACATTATTGGGTAAAATTTCATATACATGTATTTGACCTATTTTACCTCAAATTGTGGACGCAATATTTCCTTTTTAAAGGCCGATCTGTCCGATGTAGGAGTGGAAACGTGTTCTAGGGACCCTGAGGTATCTTCCTAGCAAGTTTCAAGAAATTTCATTTTTTGGCCAAAATTTAAAAAAAAATGTAAGGGGTTAGCCTTACTTTTTTTCGATTTTGGCAAAAAAATGAATTTTCTCCAAATTACTCAGAAATGCTTAAGGATGCTTTGGGGGCATGATTTAATATTCAGACCGGCAAAATTCGCTAAATTTTGGCCAAAATTGTGACATTATTGGGTAAAATTTCATATACATGTATTTGACCTATTTTACCTCAAATGTGGACGCAATATTTCCTTTTTAAAGGCCTATCTGTCCGATGTAGGAGTGGAAACGTGTTCTAGGGACCCTGAGGTATCTTCCTAGCAAGTTTCAAGAAATTTCATTTTTTGGCCAAAATTGAAAAAAATGTAAGGGGTTAGCCTTACTTTTTTTTTCGATTTTGGCCAAAAAATGAATTTTCCTCAAATTACTCAGCAATGCTTTAGGATGCTTTGGGGGGATGATTTAATATTCAGACCGGCAAAATTCGCTAAATGTTGGCCAAAATTGTGACATTATTGGGTAAAATTTCATATACATGTATTTGACCTATTTTACCTCAAATTGTGGACGCAATATTTCCTTTTTAAAGGCCGATCTGTCCGATGTAGGAGTGGAAACGTGTTCTAGGGACCCTGAGGTATCTTCCTAGCAAGTTCAAGAAATTTCATTTTTTGGCCAAAATTGAAAGAAAATGTAAGGGGTTAGCCTTACTTTTTTTCGATTTTGGCAAAAAAATGAATTTTCTCCAAATTACTCAGAAATGCTTAAGGATGCTTTGGGGGCATGATTTAATATTCAGACCGGCAAAATTCGCTAAATTTTGGCCAAAATTGTGACATTATTGGGTAAAATTTCATATACATGTATTTGACCTATTTTACCTCAAATGTGGACGCAATATTTCCTTTTTAAAGGCCTATCTGTCCGATGTAGGAGTGGAAACGTGTTCTAGGGACCCTGAGGTATCTTCCTAGCAAGTTTCAAGAAATTTCATTTTTTGGCCAAAATTGAAATAAAATGTAAGGGGTTAGCCTTACTTTTTTTTCGATTTTGGCCAAGAAATGAATTTTCTCCAAATTACTCAGAAATTCTTAAGGATGCTTTGGGGGCATGATTTAATATTCAGACCGGCAAAATTCGCTAAATTTTGGCCAAAATTGTGACATTATTAGGTAAAATTTCATATACATGTATTTGACCTATTTTACCTCAAATGTGGACGCAATATTTCCTTTTTAAAGGCCTATCTGTCCGATGTAGGAGTGGAAACGTGTTCTAGGGACCCTGAGGTATCTTCCAAGCAAGTTTCAAGAAATGTCATTTTCTGGCCAAAATTGAAAAAAAATGTAAGGGGTTAGCCTTACTTTTTTTTCGATTTTGGCCAAAAAATGAATTTTCTCCAAATTACTCAGAAATGCCTAAGGATGCTTTGGGGGCATGATTTAATATTCAGACCGGCAAAATTCGCTAAATTTTGGCCAAAATTGTGACATTATTGGGTAAAATTTCATATACATGTATTTGACCTATTTTACCTCAAATGTGGACGCAATATTTCCATTTTAAAGGCCTATCTGTCCGATGTAGGAGTGGAAACGTACTCTAGGGACCCTGAGGTATCTTCCTAGCAAGTTTCAAGAAATTTCATTTTTTGGCCAAAATTGAAAAAAAAATGTAAGGGGATAGCCTTACTTTTTTTTCGATTTTGGCCAAGAAATGAATTTTCTCCAAATTACTCAGAAATCCTTAAGGATGCTTTGGGGAGATGATTTAATATTCAGTCCGGCAAAATTCGCTAAATTTTGGCCAAAATTGTGACATTATTGGGTAAAATTTTATATACATGTATTTGACCTATTTTACCTCAAATGTGGACGCAATATTTCCTTTTTAAAGGCCTATCTGTCCGATGTAGGAGTGGAAACGTGTTCTAGGGACCCTGAGGTATCTTCCTAGCAAGTTTCAAGAAATTTCATTTTTTGGCCAAAATTGAAATAAAATGTAAGGGGTTAGCCTTACTTTTTTTTTCGATTTTGGCCAAGAAATGAATTTTCTCCAAATTACTCAGAAATTCTTAAGGATGCTTTGGGGGCATGATTTAATATTCAGACCGGCAAAATTCGCTAAATTTTGGCCAAAATTGTGACATTATTGGGTAAAATTTCATATACATGTATTTGACCTATTTTACCTCAAATGTGGACGCAATATTTCCTTTTTAAAGGCCTATCTGTCCAATGTAGGAGTGGAAACGTGTTCTAGGGACCCTGAGGTATCTTCCAAGCAAGTTTCAAGAAATTTCATTTTCTGGCCAAAATTGAAAAAAAATGTAAGGGGATAGCCTTACTTTTTTTTTCGATTTTGGCCAAGAAATGAATTTTCTCCAAATTACTCAGAAATGCTTATGGATGCTTTGGGGGCATGATTTAATATTCATACCGGCAAAATTCGCTAAATTTTGGCCAAAATTGTGACATTATTGGGTAAAATTTCATATACATGTATTTGACCTATTTTACCTCAAATGTGGACGCAATATTTCCTTTTTAAAGGCCTATCTGTCCGATGTAGGAGTGGAAACGTGTTCTAGGGACCCTGAGGTATCTTCCAAGCAAGTTTCAAGAAATTTCATTTTCTGGCCAAAATTGAAAAAAAATGTAAGGGGTTAGCCTTACTTTTTTTTCGATTTTGGCCAAAAAATGAATTTTCTCCAAATTACTCAGAAATGCTTATGGATGCTTTGGGGGCATGATTTAATATTCAGACCGGCAAAATTCGCTAAATTTTGGCCAAAATTGTGACATTATTGGGTAAAATTTCATATACATGTATTTGACCTATTTTACCTCAAATGTGGACGCAATATTTCCTTTTTAAAGGCCTATCTGTCCGATGTAGGAGTGGAAACGTGTTCTAGGGACCCTGAGGTATCTTCCAAGCAAGTTTCAAGAAATTTCATTTTCTGGCCAAAATTGAAAAAAAATGTAAGGGGTTAGCCTTACTTTTTTTTCGATTTTGGCCAAAAAATGAATTTTCTCCAAATTACTCAGAAATGCTTATGGATGCTTTGGGGGCATGATTTAATATTCAGACCGGCAAAATTCGCTAAATTTTGGCCAAAATTGTGACATTATTGGGTAAAATTTCATATACATGTATTTGACCTATTTTACCTCAAATGTGGACGCAATATTTCCTTTTTAAAGGCCTATCTGTCCGATGTAGGAGTGGAAACGTACTCTAGGGACCCTGAGGTATCTTCCTAGCAAGTTTCAAGAAATTTCATTTTTTTGGCCAAAATTGAAAAAAATTGTAAGGGGATAGCCTTACCTTTTTTTTCGATTTTGGCCAAGAAATGAATTTTTTTCCAAATTACTCAGAAATCCTTAAGGATGCTTTGGGGGCATGATTTAATATTCAGACCGGCAAAATTCGCCTAATTTTGGCCAAAATTGTGACATTATTGGGTAAAATTTTATATACATATATTTGACCTATTTTACCTCAAATGTGGACGCAATATTTCCTTTTTAAAGGCCTATCTGTGCGATGTAGGAGTGGAAACGTGTTCTAGGGACCCTGAGGTATCTTCCTAGCAAGTTTCAAGAAATTTCATTTTTTGGCCAAAATTGAAAAAAAATGTAAGGGGTTAGCCTTACTTTTTTTTCGATTTTGGCCAAGAAATGAATTTTCTCCAAATTACTCAGAAATGCTTAAGGATGCTTTGGGTGCATGATTTAATATTCAGACCGGCAAAATTCGCTAAATTTTGGCCAAAATTGTGACATTATTGGGTAAAATTTCATATACATGTATTTGACCTATTTTACCTCAAATGTGGACGCAATATTTCCTTTTTAAAGGCCTATCTGTCCGATGTAGGAGTGGAAACGTGTTCTAGGGACCCTGAGGTATCTTCCAAGCAAGTTTCAAGAAATTTCATTTTCTGGCCAAACTTGAAAAAAAATGTTATTTGCCTTACTTTTTTTTCGATTTTGGCCAAAAAATGAATTTTCTCCAAATTAGTCAGAAATGCCTAAGGATGCTTTG